CCCTCGATCGACAGGGGTCACGGACCGACGAGGAACACAGCATTCAAGACTCTGAAATGATTTCCAACACTGATGCGAATGATGAAGTCCAGTGCCGTCGTTCTCGAAGCAACGCGTCCAGCGGCTCGACGTTGACTGTCGATGGCATCCTTTCGTCTGAGGAAGAAGGCTCAAGAATGTCAACACATGTCCCTGATAATGAGGCTCAGAGCGATAACATCAATTTCAGTAGCTGGAAAACGTCGTCCGAGGTAGCCCTACCTCAGCTGAGTCTTCTACCTCCTGCCAGCATCTCCACCCGTCAAGGGCCTTTTGTGTGGTCTCCAGGCAAGCAACATCTAGTCCGTCGGGGCGGAGATCTTCAGTTCGAGCAGACAGTAGACACTCCTCTTCTCGTCCCTGGACCCAAGTCTGCCCGTAATCAAGGCGCTCCTCACGGCTTTGGCGACAACATTTACCCCGAGGAATGGGTCGAGGCTGGCGAGCTGGGCGAAGGATTGTACCCTCCCGGCAACCATCACGGCCTCTCGGACCCGTTCTCCTCCTCCAGTGCTGTCTCGCGTGGGGTTGGCATAGTTGATGGAGTTGCAGGTCTCAAAGTCGCTGTCGTGGACAATGCTTTTACTCCTGAGGCGCTCCGGCGAGGCCAGCCTGGCGCGCAGGCTGCTGCCCAGCGAAATCGGCTGCTCAGCCCATTCTACAACCATCTGCAGCAGCTCGCGGTTCGTTCCCGCAGTGAAGGTATTGATGACGACGCATTCGAAGCTGGTAGAAGGGCAGGATCCGCAGCCAGTGAAGACAGTGACAGTGCCACCCTTTACACGCAGAATGGTTTGCTCCCCGAAGCCATCGAGTCTCCCACAGCACATGTCCTACAGGAATATGAGACTTCAAGCGGTAAGTGACATCTGTGCTGAGACTTTGCTTGTTCGTTTCTTTTCTGACACTTTGCAGAAGGTGGTAGTATCGACCAGGATTCCCATCTGGAACTCAGCTTGGGCTACTCTGAGCGCCCAACTCGTGATGCACGTAGGTTAAGCCCCAATATGGACACGTCGTTACACGAACTGACGGCTCTAGATCTTATGGAGCATTCTACCCAGTCTGATACTCCTGTCGTTATGGGCAGTTACACGTTCAACACGCGCGACTGGGGCGACTACGGCAGTGCACTCGTTGACCATGCCCCTGAGAAGGCCGCGCCCAAGATCCCCGGCTGTACCGCGGGCCAGACCTCGAACAAGAACTGGAAACTTACAGGGCCCGTTCTTCAAGCTTACAACGCTATGCGAGGCTCTCGGATGGCCGCGGGTGACCCGATGGGTACGTGGGTTGGTGTGAAGCTGCAAGAGGGTCTCATGAAGGAATCGCCAGAAGGCAAGGAAAAGGAGCAGGCTCCCGACTTCAACGTCCAAGACCTGCAGAAATTCACGGCCGAAATTGCAGAAACCCTTCAGGAGCGGCCGCCCATCGACAAGGCCGCCCGTCAGGAGGTTGCCAGCGTGCCGCGCCCACAGTATCAGCACATCAATCCGCCCAAGGGCTTCAAATATCCCGCGCACCTAGCCTCATCCATCCACGGCATCGCCTCCGAGAGCTTTGACAGAAACTTTGAGGAAGAGTACGATATCTCTGATGACGAGGGCGACCCGCGCGATGGCCAGCATCTCCCCCTGCACGTTCCGCGCCTTGTCCGAGGGGCTGCACTTCGCTGGGATGAACCCGGCAAGACACTCATTCCAGATGCTCCCCGAACACATAGAGACTTCTTCTCTATGACTCCCCCTGGCGGATCGCAGTTGCAGATGTCTTCTCGATCGCATTGTTTTTTTTTTTTT